GTAGCAGTTTTGCCCAAATTATTAGGACTAATAGCAGTAGGTATAATACTGTTTGTATTAATATCAGTAGGCATGAAGCATCCTGGGAATATTTTGGGTTGTAGACACTATCCGGATGTGAATATGGCTTTCTTAATAGAAAGTGTATCTTCTTTTCTTCTTTATTGAATTTTATATTTGGACTTGGCTAACGATGAGTCATTTAATTTCACACAGTCTAGCATTTGATTGTGAAGTATTCTCACCTGTTTGAGCTAAAATTCTGTTCCCCTGACAAGCGATTATAAATGTTGGTTTCCCTGCCACCAGGTGACTCTTCTGGATGTGTTTAAGGCTTTTGTATAATCTGGTTTTGTTAATCAATCTGACAGATGCCAGTTAAACTGTTATAAATGAAATAAACTCTTGGCTATGTGTTTACAGATTATTATACTGAAAGAAAATAATGTTTACAAAATAAACTTATCTTTTTTGTAAACATGAAAAAATGGGAGTAATAATAGAGAGTCCTGATGATTCTCATTACTTGCCTTTGTAATTAGATATTTAAAATAGAACGAGTGGCAAACAGAGGAAGATACCTGTCCTACTGAGGAGATCTCTGCTTTCCCTGACCTCTCCCACATTTTTGAACATGAATCTAGATTTTCTTTAGTGTTGTTGTTGTTTTTTACCCTCTTGTCTTTTTAAACAACAGAAGGCTGTTGAACTATTAATCTTTGTTCTGGAAACCAATATTAAGTGACTTTAAGTTAGAGTTTTCATTCACTCTGCAAATAGTTACTGAGCCCTTTAGTATGTCTTGTGCCTTGTGCTTCAAGGAGGCTTACAGTCTGTGTGGTGGAGAAGACATGTTCACGATTATTTGCAATTCACATTAATATGTGATAAATTTGATAAGAAAGGCAGAAACATGTTATTGGTAGAGGTGAGAGGAGAGAGAAAAGAGAAGACCTCAGGGAGGAGATAGTACTTGAGCAGGGCCTGGAGGGGTGAGTGGGAGGTTGATGGACAGAGCAGAGAGAGTGCAGTTCATGCAGAATGACCTACACAGAGTTTTGGGAGGTGGGCAGGGATCAGGTGACTTCAAGGGCAAGCAGCTTGTCCAGTTGGCTTGAAAATCACTAGCACTGGGATCTAATAGGAGCTCAAGCTGTATGAATTACCAAAGCCTTTTAGCATTTTATTTTCACCGAGTAATGGAGAGCCTTGAAGTTGTGTGAGCGAGGAAGTAACTCAGTGAGGCTGGGACATTAGGAACATTCATCTATTGGCTGCTTTGAGAGAGGCAAGAAGGAGGCTGAGGCAACAGTCCAAGTGAGAAGAAAGAGGTCACCAGGACAGTGGAGGGGGGCAAGTAAAGGAAAAGACAGTAGCTAATTTCTGGAACTTGGCTGTGTTAGGGACAAATGCCTAGAAGAAGTCAAAAGATTGTGTGTGTGTATTAACTGAAAGTGGATTTGACTTTATTGAGACCTAAATGGATCCATAATTGAAGTCCTGGTGATGGAAAGAAGCTGCTTTTGCGGAGCCCTGTGAGGGCGGGGCAGCCTTGTCCATCTCTAGATCTCCGGTGATAGACACCATGCTCAAGAATTGTTTGGAGAAGGAATGAATATAGTGAATTTAGTTGGAGCACTTACTGATGAAGGTCAAAGACTATATAGCCTTCAATACTGATTACACCTGAACGTGAAGAAAATGAACGACTGATAATGAACGACTCACAACGACCGATAAACAACATCATGATAAATGAAGAAGAAATTGAAGTTGCCAGTGATTTCGTTCTACTTGGGTCAACAATCAATGACCATGGAAACAGCAGTCAAATAATCAAATGACATATTGCATTGGGTAGATCTACTGCAAAAGACCTCTTTACTGTTTTAAAAAGCAAAGCTACACTTTGATAACTAAGGTGCATCAGACCCAAGCCATGGTCTTTTCAGTTGCCTCATATGCATGTGAAAGTTGGATAATGAAACAGGAAGACAGAAAAAGAATTGATGTGTTAGAACTGTGGTGTTGGTCAAGGATACTGAATATGCCGTGGACTGCCAAAAGAACGAACAAGTCTGTCTTAGAAGAAATACAACCAGAATGTTCCCTAGAAGCAAGATGGAGAGACTTGGGCTTGCTTACTTTTAGACATGTTATCTGGAAAGACAAATCGCTATAAAAGGACATCCTATTTGATAAAGTAGAGGGCCAACAAAAATGAGGGAAGCCCTCAATGAGATGGAGTGATATAATAGCTGCAAAAATGGACTCCAGTATACCAGCGATCAGGAATATGGTGCAGGACTGGGCAACGTTTTGTTTGTTATACATAGGGTCACCATGAGTTGGAGCTGACTCAGTGGCAAACTAACAAGTAACAACAACAGTCGCCATGAGCACCATGAGGAGATTAAGGGCCCACTGACCTAGGTTCGAATCCTGACTCAGCCATTTCCTAGCTGGATGATCCTGGAGCAAGTTACTGGACCTTTCCATTTCCTCATCTGCAAAATGAAGGGTAATAACACTATCTCTTGGGCTATGATATGATTATTCATATCAGCTGAATGAATTAATGCACATGAAATGTTTATCACTGTGCCCAGAATATATCTGAAGTAAATGCTCCTCAGACATTGGTTGGGGCTATTCACAGGGGAGTGTAAATGTGAGCCTGTGATTGGGAGATTAATGATGAGTTGTCAGCATGGGGGATAATAGCCTTGGGAGTGCTTCAGATCCTTAGCCTGGAAGTGGAGAGCCTAGGAAGGAGAGTAGGGAGTGAGGCAGTTTAAGGAAATCTCTCACTAAGGAAGTGAGAAGAGGAAGCTAGAAATGGTAAAGGAGAAGAGGGACCAGGTTGGAGAGACAGGGGAGGACACTCTGATCAATGCTGGCTGTCTCAGGCAAGGAGAATGCTTCGGGGTAGACAGGAAAGAAAAAGTAACAAATTCAAGGAGGTCAGAGAGAGTGAGAACTGAGACTGGACATTGAGTTCGGTTGTTCGCGAAGACATTGACTGAACTTGGAAGAAGTTGCAGTAGAGCAGAAGCTGTGTTACCTGGGTTAAGGAGAGCATCAAGGAAAAAGGGAAGATTCTGTAGGATAAAGAAGAGCTAATCGCCTCGATTGAGGAAGAGCAACATTTCTAAAATATCTTAAAAAATAGTATGGTTTGTACTAGCAGAATAATCAATAGAATGTACACGTAGTACAAGACCGCCACACTGCACAGTCGCATATTGTAATCCACGTGAACAGTCCCTGGTGCAGCAGTAGCCCTGGTTCACTGGCATATATAATAATAAATGAAGTGTAACATGTAATAAATAAATACTAACTATAATTAATGAAATAAAATGAATTATAACTAACAATGAGTATTTATTCTGGACCAACAGCATTATAAACTGTTTTGCATATATTATCTCAATCTTCCTAACAACCCAGTGAAGTGTAGGTGTTGGTCTCATTTATAGCTGAGGGAGGCTAGGTAACTTGCCCAGAGTCATACAGCCAGCTGGTAAGTGGTGGAGCCAGGATTTAACACAGTTTGGCTACAGAGCATGTGCTATCAACAGCTACACTACACTGCTTCCATTTATTTTGCTCTTGAATTACATTAGGACGAGCAAATGTCATTCGATATGTCTGATGAAACAGGAGGTACTGGAGAGGACAACTGAACATGAAAGAAAGGGCTGATGGAGCAGCGTTTCAGAGACAGTGGGCAGGAATGGGGTCAAGAGTGCCAGTAGAGTCGGTAATGGAAAATGACCCCACTTGCTCTCAGCAAACGAGAAAGAGAGGATTGGCAGAAATACAGAGGAGAGGGACATGGGATTTTGCAGGAGAGAGAGGTAGAAAATTTTAGGGAATATTTTCAGTATAGGAGACTGCCATCTATGATGAGAATTTTCCAGTGGATTTTTTAAAAAATGTCTTCCACTGATAGTTTGATTTGACCTAGTCCTTTTGGAGAAAAGGGCCTGAATGAGCTAGCATTAGAGTGGAAGGTTTATTGACCTTGACAGATTCCCAAGGTACCTTTTGGTGGAGCCCGGAAGGTTACACCCTCTAAGGGGAGTGGCCATATTTCATCAACTGCTACTGATTTGAATTGCTGCCAGAATGGAGTAGGAGGTTGAAAGAAGAGTGTTGTCTTTTCTTCCTCTTGTGAAGATGTCCCAGGCTTAGGAAGGGAGACAAACTAAAGGTGGAAAAGGGAATGAAGGCAGTAGAGACATTTTGAATTTGAGAGGTGCTGAGGGATGGATGGCACTTAATTGAGGAGTGTCCATGTCAGAACTGTCTAGAACTTTCCAGAAATCAGATACGTCATTGAGAACAGTGCTTCTCAAACTATCTGTAGGAAAGGGCTCTTGTATTGTTTTAACGTTGCCGACTGTGATAATTTTGTAAAATACTAGAAAAAATAAATTATAAGACATAAAAAACACAAACCCAGTTTGTTTTTTATTATTAATTTTCTCAGGCACACATATTCTGTGAAATTGCTAGAAAAAAGTGCTTACTTTCAGCTTTTGTACTTCCCCTCCTCGTGGACTTGTCATGGACTTGGAACAGACAGTGGGCCTCACTTTGAGTAGTACTGATGTAGAAGTTAGATACCAGGACGGGCTGGTTTACAGCGCTGCAAGTTCCCTGAGCTCTTCCCAGAGTGCCCAGCCCAGGGCATGGCACATAATAGACACTCAACAAATAAACACTTTACACAGTCTCTTTAAGAGGCGATTTTTCTTTGCAGAGTAAAATTAAACTAGTATGATAGCAACTGTCTGAAAAATAAGAAAATTAAAAATTTGTTCACCTGGTAGTAGGCAGCATTTTAAAGCAAAATGTGATTTACCTTGTTTTGCAGTTTTCAAACCACATCTTTGTAGATTTGAAAAAACCTTAGATTTCCCAGCAAGTCACAGCTTTGTTCCTTGTGTTGTGACACTTAACCTCAGCAACAGTTCGTTTTTTGGCTTTAGGTTGTGTCGACAGCTAAGGTGTGTGGAGCTGCCAATGAGTCACCCTCAGTGAAGAGGCTCCACCTGCTTGTTGCCGAAAAAGATTTTTCCTTTAAAGCTGGCCAGTGGTAAGTGGCTTTTCTGTTTCCCAAGTATGTGTGATCAAGAAGGTGTCATCAGATAGAAGGGATTATTTTTTTTCTTCTGGAAAGGACTTCTGTGATTAGCCATTTGCACTGAGGTGTAGGAATTCCAGTCCATTTCCATTCAGAGTGAGCCTTTCTTGGCGTGGTGACTACAGTTCCTTCCCTGGCCTCAGAGACCACCTTGCTTTTGAGCCCCTGGTCCTCTCAGTCTGATATGAAAATTGCTGCCTTGAGTTTTTCAGATTCAAGCAAAGCAGCGCGTTCTGGTCCAAGGAACTGACATCTCTAATAATTCCTTTCTGCAGGAATGGTTGCTAATAGAATGCACTGCAATAATGTGATCTGCGTAAGAGTTATGTGTTGCTGGAGATTCGTATGTTTTTAAAAATCAGTCTTCTTTATGTCAAACAGAGCAAACAAAGCAATCTGCAAAGAATGACCAGTTGTGTTGTTACAGAGCTGACCATGCACTCCACTGAATTCCCGTTTCATTTACCATAATCTCTAATTACCCTGTGTCCCATACCTTTTCTGGCCTGAGTTTAAATATTTTGCTTAATTTATTATTAGGATGTCCCAACAAGGCCCAGCCCACACACACACGAATCATAAGTCTGTCCCATCCGACACTGAGAACTAATCAGTATGCTGACAGGATAACAGCCCAGCTGTCCCACTGTTCCTCTGAAGGGCTGCACTGAGCTACAATTCAAGTTGAAGTGTAAATAAAGCATCTTGTGTTTCCTTAGGAAAGGTGTGTTTGGGTGTGTGTGCCCCTTATGTAAATAAAGCATTCATTTCTAAATGAATTTCTGGCATGTCAATCTCGATAGTATTTCTTAGGAGCCACTTGGCTCATTTTGGCAGTCCATCTGGAAATGTGGTTGTGTTAGAAGGAGGATGTGTGATAATAGCAAGAGTTAGCAGTCTTGTGTTAATAGTTTGCCTTTGAATTTAGAACTAGAAAACAAGATGCTGATTGCAATAATTTGTGTTTGTGGAGCAATTTACTGCAGTCTTTGCACATGCTCGGTGATACGTAGTAAATGCATGTTGGCTAGGGTATCTTAGGGGGTTGGCAATATATTTACCCTTCAGAAATGTTTAGCAGTTATTCCACTTAAAAGTGGAAACTTTAATTGTAATGATCTGTTTCTGCATATTTCCCTTATGTGCAAGTGTTTATGTCCTGCACTCAACATTGTCTCTGTGCTTTCAACTCTCAATTGTGCCAAGACTCTGATCCCGCTTTCCTGATTAGAAAAAGCCTGTGCATTGGTTATAGCGCTGCTCTCATGCGTGTCTGCAATTATCTGATAGAAAAATGTCGTTATAGAGAAATAGGGTCCCATTGTGATTCTCAAGGTAAAATTAAAGAGGGTTGGTGTTAAGATTCCCCTAACAGTAAATGGATTTGGTCGTTTCATTGATGTTAGGCCTGGTTTTAGTATGAGCCTCACAGACTCCTGCTTCAGAGGGCAGACTTGGGGTAGAGGTCGGGGAGTCATCACTAGGTGCTTAGCCTTAACCTGTCCCTGCCAGGTGTTGGTGAGCACTCATTCTTGGCACCTTGGCCCTCCCCTTGGCTTATTGTATGGAGTTGTGAGTTCCTTTGGCTATTTGATCTTATGGTTACAGAATGGCCATTTCGCTTAGGTTGGAGGTGTCACTCCTTCAGTGCTCTTGGCTAAGATGGCTTGAGTTCTAGGCTCTCTCAGATCATCAGCTCGGTAGTGACCTCCATGTGGCACTCTGGGGAAGAGAGGCAAGTGGCAGCTGCTCAGTGTGTGTAGTTAGGTAGAATTGCCAGCGTGGAGCACTGCTAGGGACAAAGGAGAGAGGATTGCTGTTGGGCTTATCTTTGGGGTGAAAGATTGGACAGGATCCCACATCTCTGAATTCTTGATGAGTGGCCCCTTCTGACACCTGCAGAACTTCGAGGGTGAAGCTCCAGGTCCAACTCCAAATAAATAAATGAATGCTCTCTGTGACTAGCTGGAGCTGTGGCCACACATCCCCATGTAGACACCTTTGACATAGACCACATAGACCCTGTGTTCTCCCTTGGCCTGCAGAGGGGACTGTCCCCTGTACCGGGAAACTCGTTCCAAGAACTCAAGCAATCTAATCCAGAAGGAAAGGCCATAAGAGGAAACCCCTTCAAAAACACTTCTCACATGAGTGGGGCTTACCCTCTTGGGCTCCTCTCACCAGTAGGTCCACACCGAGCACCTGGCTCCTTGGTGAGTCCTGCTCTGGACCAAACCAAAATTCCTTCTCCCTCGGGGTGGAAAGATTGGCACCCCCTCAGGCCTGGAGGGTTTCACCAGCAGTCTTCACGCAGTGTGTGACCGCCCTGAGTTTCCAGATTCAGTGTTCAGCGTGGAACTCACCTGCCTGCCTTCTGTGATGGTCGCGGCTGCTGCAGGGGCAGCCCATCCAGAGAGAGTCCGTGTAGCCCAGCGCTCTGGAGGTAGACTGCCCAGGCTTTAGGGGCTTGCTTTTCTCGGTGTTAACTCTCTGACCTGGGCAATTTCCTTACTTCTCTGGGCTTCGGTTTTCATATCTTTAACGTGAGAATAGTAATATTGCTATGTCTCGGGATGTGTAAACTTTTAGCACAGTGCCTAATGTTAACGTTATTAGTTTTTGTTTTTTGTTATTGTTAGTAAGTATTTCACTCAGTTAGGTTATCTGTGCTGGCGAGGCCCATGGACAGATTCCTGTTTTTCATTCCTTGGCTAGTTCCCCTGCAGTGTGAGCTGTTGGTTTAAAGAGACGCAGGCCACAGAGCAGCGGGTGAGCACACATCTCCACCGCGACTCCGCTGATGCTGGAGTCAGTACTTCATCCACTCTTGTGGCTGTGCACCGTGTGCAAGCAAGTCCAAAGCATTTTTGCAGAAGAAAGGAATCCTTGGTTCTAATCCTTGGTTTTAAGGACTATAGACAAGGTAACAAGCTTTTATGCTAGAAAGTGACTTTGGGACCTGTTCAGTTTGTATTTCCGAGAGGAGGACACCAAGAAGAAACAAGTCAGAGGAACAAGATTAGAGAAATAAGACTCTACCCATACCCATACCCCGGTAGCAGGGTGGTACACACTGTAAGCAATAAACAGCCTCCAGGGCTGGGGGCTGTGGCCCTGACTCACAGACATAGAAAACATCGGAATTCTTTGCATCGTTCTTTAAGCTGTGTCCTCTGCCCCGCTTACCTGGTGAGTACTATGTGTCTTTAAAGACTCAGTTTAAGCAGTGTATCCTCTGTGAAGTCTTTCTCAATTCCTCTAATTCTGGTAGAAGGAGTCCCTGGGTGGTGAAAACAGTTAATGTGTTCGGCTGCTAACCGAGAGGTTGGAGGTTTGTGCCTACCCAGAGGTGACTTGGAAGAAAGGCCTGGTGACCTACTTCTGCAATATCAATCATTGAAAACCCCACAGAGCACAATTCTGCTCTGACACACATGGGGTCCCCATGAGTCAGAATCTACTCAACAGCAACTGGTTGCTTTTTCCTCTGCCCCGCCCTCCCTACTCTAAAGAGATTTTAGCATATTGTTGTTTTTGTTAGGTGCCATCCACTCAGTTCTGACTAACAGCAACGCTGTGTACAACAGAATGAAACATTGCCCGGTTCCGCGCCATCTTCAAAATTGTTGTTATGCCTGAGCCTATTGTTGCAGTCACTGTGTCATTCCTTCTCTTCGAGGGTCTTCCTCTTTTTCGCTAACCCTCTACTTTACCAAGCATAGTGTCCTTCCCAGGGACTGATCCCTCTTGATAACATGTCCAAAGTATGTGAGATGGAGTCTCACCATCCTTGCTTCTAAGGAGCATTCTGGCTGTACCTCTTCCAAGACAGATGGGTTTGTTCTTTTGGCAGTCCATGGTATATTCAATATTCTTTGCCAACACTGTAATTCAAAGTCATCAATTCTTCTTCAGTCTTCCTTATTCATTGTCCAGCTTTTGCATGCATATGAGGCAATTGAAAACACCATGGCTTGGGTCAGGCGCACCTTAGTTTTTAAAGTGACATCTTTACTTTTTAACACTTTAAAGAGGTCTTTTGCAGCAGATTTGCCCAATGCAATGCATCCTTTGATTTCTTTCTTTCTTTTTTTTATTTTTGTACTTCAAGTGAAAGTTTACAATTCTCGTAAGTCTCTCATACAAAAATTTATACATATATTGTTATGTGACCCTAGTTGCTCTCCCTGTACTGTGACAGCACACTCCTCCTTTCCACCCCTGATTTCCCGTATCCATTCAACCAGCTCCTGACCCTGTCTGCCTTCTCATCTCACCTCTGGACAGGAGCTTCCCATTTAGTCTCATGTACCTACTTAAGCTAAGAAGCACACTCTTCACGAGTATCATTTTATGTCATATAGTCCAGTCTAATCTTTGTCTGAAGAGTTGGCCTCAGGAATGGTTTTTGTTCTGGGTTGACAGAGAGTCCGGGGGCCATGCTTTCTGGGGTTCTACCATGTTTTCTGGCGTTCCTCCCGTCTCAGTCAGACCATTAAGTCTGGTCTTTTTACTAGAATTTGAGTTCTGCACCCCACTTTTCTCCTGCTCCATCAGGGACTCTCTGTTATATTCCCTGTCAGGGTGGTCATTGGTGGTAGCCGGGCACCATCTAGTTCTTCTGGTCTCAGGCTGATGAAGTCTCTGGTTTACGTGGCCCTTTCTGTCTCTTGGGCTAATACTTTCCTTGTGTCTTTGGTGTTCTTCATTCTCCTTTACTCCAGGTGGATTGGGACCAGTTGATGCATCTTAGCTGGCCACTCGGTAGCTTTTAAGACCCCAGATGGCACTCACCAAAGTAGGATGTGAATATTTTCTTAATAAACTTTGTTTTGCCAGTTGACCCAGATGTTCCCTGAAAGCGTGGTCCTCAAACCCCCGCCCTTACTACTCTGTCCCTCGAAGTGTTTGACTGTCTTCAGGAAACTTCTTAGCTTTGGTTTAGTCCAGTT